TTGTTGAACAAATCCACCCCACGCCACTAGAGTTGTTGAATGAATCCATCTCCCCTGAACGTGTAGATAGATGGTCGTGTGCTAATTGCGTGCTATTGATTCCTTCCCAGCTGGGATGTCTTGAATCAATCTTTGCTCGGGAGTTTAGCTCTGGCATTACATTAATAATGGAGCGTGATGCTACCTTCTCGGTGGAGGGAAATTAGTCGCTACACATTGCTGGGGGGGGGGGGGGGGGCGTCGTAACGGGCATGTTTGAGTATAAACTAAAATAACTATAGAACGGGAGGGTCAATTAAACTACTGTGCCATATCTCAAGGCTCCCCTTCTACCGTTGTGTGTGTGTTTCTTTTCTGGCTTCTGTTGTTTTATGTAGGAGCTAGTACTTGGGACAAGGGGGATAATGTAAGAATTGTGCCAGTTGGTGGTGTGTGAACGTCTACGTCGTGTGATATGTTTACACTGTTGATGTATTGTAGCGATAAAAACTTAGCTTTCACTTACATACTGGACAAGTTAAATTATTGTAGCTGTTGGTTTAAAAAATGTGGCATGTGTAAAACATTGGCCTTTTTCAACTTTTGTGTCTCAGTTGACTTGATGAAGTGTAAACATGGGCTCGACAAATATGGAAGACATTTTTTATTTATACAACTGCTTTTACATGCTTAGCACATGATTCGGCTTGTGTATGTGACATGCCTAGCTATGGTATAGTTGGCATGTTTGGGCTTATCGCTGCGATGTGTTTTAACTATAGTGTGGTTGGCATGTTTTAGCTTCTGATGGCTGCGGCGTGTTTTGGCTGTAGTGTAGTTATTTATTTATTTTTTTGCTTTTTATTATTGCGACCTGTTTTAGCTATAGTGTAGTTGGCATGTTTTAGCTTCTTATGGCTGCGACGTGTTTCGGGTTTTTGTCTACTGCGCAGTTTCACGTAGCAATTTTCGCAAATGCTACCCCCGAGTGCCGCCATGATTTGTTTGGCTTATTATGCTTGCGATATGACAATCACATACACCAATTGTTATGTACTGATTGCCGTGACGGTACATTAGGCTAGCGACAGTCACATACACCAAGTGTTATGTACTGGTTTGCCGTGACGGTACATTAGGCTAGCGACAGTCACATACACCAAGTGTTATGTACTGGTTTGCCGTGACGGTACATTAGGCTAGCGACAGTCACATACACCAAGTGTTATGTACTGGTTTGCCGTGACGGTACATTAGGCTAGCGACAGCCACATACACCAAGTGTTATGTACTGATTTGCCGTGACGGTACATTAGGCTAGCGACAGTCACATACACCAAGTGTTATGTACTGATTTGCCGTGACGGTACATTAGGCTAGCGACAGCCACATACACCAAGTGTTATGTACTGGTTTGCCGTGACGGTACATTAGGCTAGCGACAGCCACATACACCAAGTGTTATGTACTGATTTGCCGTGACGGTACATTAGGCTAGCGACAGCCACATACACCAAGTGTTATGTACTGATTTGCCGTGACGGTACATTAAGCTAGCGACAGACACATACACCAAGTGTTATGTACTGATTGCCGTGACGGTACATTAGTCAGGCAAAATACCTGATGAAGAGCCGCTGTTTGTGTACTGGATAAAAGAGCTCCGTGCTGAAGACTACCCAAGCCCGGTAGTGTTAGACAGTGGGTGTCGTGTTGCTGGGGTAGACTCTCGTTACAGAGACGACGTTATTCCGTTCTGTGGGCGGTGGTTGCAGGGCTTCTCACGTTGTCTGGTCCACCGATCGATGGGGGGGGGGGGATCTCTGTGTCGCGCTGCTACCAGTGGTGTTTGTGGCTGTCGGGGTTTGTGTTTGGCTGGCGTTGTTCAATGTTGGTTGTTGTCGGTGTCATAAATACGGCTGGCCATCTGTTGACCTAAGGCAGTGGTCAGCTGCCAGGTGCTCGTTGGGTGATTAAATGCCGCCATTGTTGTCAGGTTTTCTGCAATGTTTATCTGTGTTTTGAAAGTACCTTGCTCTCAGCAGTTAATTTTGTTTCGCTGATGAAACAAATTTCAGTGCGGTTTTCCTGGTGATTTCTGTTTTTTAAAAAGTTGGCCACTTGTTGCATGTAGTCTACTGTCAGGTTCACGCTAACCACATGACCTAACGTGCGGCTTTTGTTCCAAAGATGACCGGCCTTGTAATAACATGGTCATCAGTTGGTCCCAGAGGCGTGTTCATCTTCGGCGGGGTCCCTTGACTATAGCAGCTAACCAGTTATTAGGAGTGATGTTGAGCTGTAAATACTACTTAAGCTTATCAGATCACCTTATGTATAGCAAAGCTAACTATGACATACGAGAAATCCAGTAGATATTTGGTCGAATCTGTCTCAGGTGACACGGAAATGCCGTGTTCCGTCTCTAGACTCGAATCATTAAAGTCGTCGCTCATTCCATACCAGGAAATAAAAAAGCATGCACTCATCAGGCAAATATCAAATCGGGGGATTGTATGTACATTTACTTAACTTGCAAGACATGGCCTTAGGGACTATTTATAAACTAAGAAGTTTTCTATATTTAAATTACAATGTAATATGAACAAGAATTTTAGTTCAGTTCTCTTAAAATGCGCTTGAATAAAAATACAACATCTGTTCCCGAATCATGCGTGTAATTGTACACACACGAGGAAACCAGTAGATTTTTCCTTGAATTTGTGGCACGTAGCATGTAATTATAGACATCTATCTCCGGGTTCGCATCATTGCGGTGAGGGGCGACGGGCACCTAGCTCCCGTCGAGTTTTAGATAGTGAAAAGTGTTATCATAGTTTCTAGTCTTAACGACAGGTTATATGCATAAATAATAATAATTAGTTAACTAGTGAGATGTCACAAAAGTAAAGGAAAATTTAAATTATATGAGATTTTACAGCGTGTTAGAATTAACTAAAACTCCTGTGACTAAATCATCACTTCTATCAGGTCTTTTTGTCAACGTGTCGCTTGCTAAGCAAATAGAAAACTTTGAATGTAAATATTACTTATGCTCATTATATCACTTTATTGCAAACCAGACGGTACACAAAAGAATATCAGGCAAGAAACAATTGTCCCACCATGAAGCACTTTTAGCTCAAGGCATACGGAATATTTCTCTCCAACATCCATGTATAGTACTGTATACACATTTATAAAATATCGGGGGCCCTGGGCTGCTGCCCGGTCAGCCCCCCCCCCCCTTTAATCCGCCGATGGTTCGTCCTTTGACTCTGGTTTAAGTTTCCCCCGGACAGTCGTTGTGTTATGTAGATGACTGAGGCGAGCTGGCCGAGTTATGGCCCGCGGTTATCTCGTGACGTATGACTGCACTGATCGATGCTGTATCCTGTCAACGTCCAGTTCCCTGCCAGATAAACTCTCATCTGGCGGAGTTGCCAGATAAGCTTTATTTTTGTGTTGCCTGTTTGTGTACAAGATCTCGATATTTAATCTTGTAGAGTGTTTTTATAGTTGCCTGTTTTGTGCGCAAGTTCTCGTCAGATAAACTTTTATAGCTGCTTGTTTGTGTACAAGGCCCTGACCTTCTTTCCACGAACGGCTTCATCTGTACATGTGTCTGTCTCTTCCCTCTCCTCCCCCCTCCCCATTGTATTTTTAACAGAGCGCATGTAACACGGGTGTCTTTAATAGCTGAGTGTACGCTCGCCCTGCCACAAGCAGTTACCGACTTGAGTTTTAGCCCTCAGATATGTGACAAGGCTCCCGACTCGAACATTCTTAACCTTTTCAGTGCCGGGAATCTAGGGAATGACGGAGTAACATATTTTGTCTGCGGGCCCGGCTGTAATTGCTTTTTGTTCTAACCACAATAGTGTAGGTGCTCTAGGCTAGCGGCATGCTGTGGTCGATCACCGCAATTGTTTGTTTGTATGTGTGTGTGTGTGTGTGTGTGTTTTTCTAACCACAATAGTGTAGGTGCTCTAGGCTAGCGGCATGCTGTGGTCGATCACCGCAATTGTTTGTTTGTATGTGTGTGTGTGTGTGTGTTTTTCTAACCACAATAGTGTAGGTGCTCTAGGCTAGCGGCATGCTGTGGTCGATAGAAATCATATTTGATGCAGCATCATGCAGAAAAGTTGTTATACTTGTACACATTGATCTCCTGGAATCTTACAGTCACTTGGTCCTGTGACTCAAGAAGAGATAGTGTGGTCAGTTCTAAGTAATTTTCTCATCACATGTGTCAGGTGCATAGGAATAGTGTGGTCAGTTATATGCCCTTCTCAGATCACATGTAGCATGGGCATAGGAATTGTGTGGTCAGTTATATGCCCTTCTCAGATCACATGTAGCATGGGCATAAGAATTGTGTGGTCAGTTCTATGCCCTCTAAGATCACATGTAGCATGGGCATAAGAATAGTGTGGTCAGTTCTATGCCCTTCTCAAATCACCGATAAAACCAGCTAAATTCAATGGTTTAAAAGGGGGGGGGGGTGGATGACAGAAATAAAGTCATAATTCCCCTTGAGTGTTCTCTGATCTATAAATGACATTCTGTCACGTGTCACTGTATCACTACGCCTTGGTGTCGCATCGCATTTGATGGATGTATTCATTCATGAAGTGCGAAACATTACGAGCACCCACTCGAAGTCTGAGCATTGTGTGTACCCACTGACCGTCACAACACTGGGGATGGTTCAAGTGATATGACGCCATGTTTGAGTGTGTGTTCTCTCTCAAGTGGCAGGCTGCTCTTATTTTTTTCTTTCTCTCCGTGCCGTCAGTTGGACCTAGTCCTGACGTCCATGGTACGGGTTGCCTTGCCCTCTAGACGAGGTCGCTCTCCAGCCATCCGCAGGTCACGTGTTGCTCACCATTGTTGACCCCAGGCTGGGGAGTGATCTAGGCCTACAATTATAAGCAGAAAGTCGAGTGGGAGGGGCAGGGGGGTGACACACATATCCAGTTTTAAAACTCGGTCACGGTTCATGCCCACTGCACTAACGGGCCTGTGGCGAACTGGGGGTGGCGAAACAACGCAGTTTGTATCACGTGGTCGGCAATGGGGTTCCTGGTATATTTAGGTTTTATTTAGACAGTCGTTTGTTTTGATTCGTCCCTGTCTCACGCGGATTCGCTGGGTAAATACATCAATACATTTTCATTGAGGAATATATATATATATATATATATATATATATATATATATATATATATATATATATATATATATATATATATATATATATATATATATATATATATAATTTAATAGGTGTAGAGAAATAGATTAACACTTTAGTTATGAATAACAGATTTGTAAGTGTATTGTGAAATATACAACCGTACCTGTAAACAGTCATACTTATACTGATTTTATTTTTTTACAAAGTTCAACGCAGTGGGTAATAATGCAATGCTTTACAGATCTAACTCTGCCTTAAATGTTCTTTATTTTACATTGATTAGTGTGGTTTAGTAGGCAACCGTTGTTTGTCTATACTTTATTCTGAAGGGAACAATTGGAATTTATTTTTATTTTTAAAATTCTTCTAAGCGGCTAATTTTTCTCTAAATGATGCCATGGCTTTAAAAAAAATGTGTACAGTTTAGTGTTATGGTCCCAAGCCTCAGTTAGTGTAACTTGATAGAGTTATTTCCCTGCTCTTTAAAGTTAGTGTAGGGGTCTAGTCCCGCTTGATTGATAGGCTGTCATGCTTGATGTTAAAATAGACTAGCTATAGCTCTTTACAACCCTTCAATCATCTGTTGATGGATCAAGTGGCTACCATCTTGTAGCTTTGAACTTAGTTACTTTTAGTGAAATTTCTTTTGGGGTTTATGCTAAATTGCAATAATTTTTTGTAATTTTGATTGTACTAGAAATATTTGGAGTTGGGATAAAAGGGTTTTTTATTCTCTATTTTTGTTTTTACATAAATTACTTTCAATTTTTTTTTAGAAGGAATTAAGAACTTTTATTGTTTGTTTTTTTATGGTACCAAAACAGTTTACATATTTGTACAATACACTGTAATTAGATGCTAATTCTTGCATTTTATTTTCTGCTATTAAGAAAAACATTGTTGCAATGTCTCTTGTTTAAGTTGTATTAAACCTGTTTTCTCTCTGCTGTAGATAAGCTGAAACCATGAAGCTGTCTCTCAACTGTTGCACCTGGTTACTCCTCCTCTCGCTGTGTTTAATCCTCATCAGCTCCACTGAAGGGGGAAAGAAGGGCGGAGCTAAAAACGGAGGTATTAATTTAATTTGGCATGGGATGACATGGTCGAATGGTAGTGCAGACAACAGCTAACCTGAAAGTCCAATCTAGGAAAGTCCACCCACATTTGATGGGCTCCTGGCTCACGTTGGGGAAAGTAAAGGCGACTGAGCATAGTGTTGGCCACACTGTTTCTTCATATGACGAGGTCACAGAAACAGATGAACTCTACTTCACTTACCCCATGGACCATCAGGTTCAAAAGGGAACTTTACTAGTTTCCTTACTACTTAGCTTATTTGTCACACTATGCAGAATCTAACTGTTAAGTAGAAAGTTGTGTATAAACTTTTGGAATTTTTTGTGTAACCTCAAGCATAACCTACTCAGGTTAAATGCACTTGAATATATGCTAATAGTTGCAGGTGTGGTGATTCAGGTAAAGTGGTAATTGTCAGCTTAATACTGAACATCAGGAGATGATAGCTGAATAAAGAAATGCATATGATTATCATTGGCTTATTGTTGAAGTTTTCATAGAAGTTACAATTTTGCTAAATTTTGGGTATTTAAACATGAGGAAAAGACTTATTAATTAATGAGGACTTGTAGCTTTTATGGAGTGAAGTGTTTCAAGTTTAGTGGAAACTTTCTGATTGATTACTGGATGTCTTAATTAATTTGCTTAGGGGAAGCTTAATTATTGACAACTTGTATTAATTAGTTTAGAAGAAATGTGTTAATTACTGACCATGTATAAATTAATGGAGTGGACTTGTAAATTAGTGACCCCCATGTATAAATGAGTGCAGCGTAACATGTTAATTAGTGACCCCATGTATGAATGAGTGCAGTATAACATGTTAATTAGTGACCCCATGTATAAATGAGTGCAGTATAACATGTTAATTAGTGACCCCATGTATAAATGAGTGCAGCATAACATGTTAATTAGTGACCCCATGTATGAATGAGTGCAGTATAACATGTTAATTAGTGACCCCATGTATAAATGAGTGCAGCATAACATGTTAATTACTGACCCCATGTATAAATGAGTGCAGCATAACATGTTGATTAGTGACCCCATGTATAAATGAAAGCTAATTAGCTACCTGTCACAGCCTGCAAGTACAACAAGAAGGGCAAGGAGAGTGAGTGCAACACAAGCACCAACACCAAAGAGATCACGTACACCCTCAAGAAGGGAGACGCTGAATGTCAAGCCACTATTGTCAAGAAAAAACCTTGCTCTAACTCAAAACCCAAAAAAGCCAAAGGTTAGTGTCATTTTGTTTATTTATTCATCTAACTTTTGCAATACCTTTATTGGTAATATTGATCAAAGCCTAGTAAGTCTAGGTTAACATTATTCACATCCTCTCTAGCCCAGCCCCAATACTGCCTACTTTTGTCTCTTCCCAATACCAAAAATATAAAGGAAAGTTAACTTCCCTGTACCTTACTGCCCACCTGTGTCCCACACACTGCCCACCTGTGTCCCACACACTGCCCACCTGTCCCACACACTGCCCACCTGTGTCCCACACACTACCCACCTGTGTCCCACACACTGCCCACCTGTCCCACACACTGCCCACCTGTGTCCCACACACTGCCCGCCTGTGTTCCGCACACTGCCCACCTGTCCCACACACTGCCCGCCTGTGTTCCGCACACTGCCCACCTGTGTCCCTAACACTGCCCACCTGTGTCCCACACACTGCCCACCTGTGTCCCACACACTGCCCACCTGTGTCCCACACACTGCCCACCTGTGTCCCTAACACTGCCCACCTGTGTCCCTAACACTGCCCACCTGTGTCCCTAACACTGCCCACCTGTGTCCCTAACACTGCCCACCTGTGTCCCTAACACTGCCCACCTGTGTCCCTAACACTGCCCACCTGTGTCCCTAACACTGCCCACCTGTGTCCCACACATTGCCCACCTGTGTCCCACACTCTGCCCACCTGTGTGCCACATGCTGCCCACCTGTGTCCCACACACTACCCACCTGTGTCCCACACACTACCCACCTGTGTCCCACACTGTACCCACCTGTGTCCCACACACTACCCACCTGTGTCCCACACACTACCCACCTGTGTCCCACACACTACCCACCTGTGTCCTACACACTACCCACCTGTGTCCCACACACTACCCACCTGTGTCCCACACTGTACCCACCTGTGTCCCACACACTACCCACCTGTCCCACACACTACCCACCTGTTTCCCACACTGTACCCACCTGTCCCACACTGTACCCACCTGTCCCACACTGTACCCACCTGTCCCACACATTGCCCACCTGTCCCACACACTGCCCACCTGTAAATAAAGTTTGTTACCGTGTACCTCCTACCCAGGGTCAGGCTGCAAGTATGAGAAGCAAGGTGCCACCTGGACTGAGTGTGACCCTGTCACCAAGAAGAAGTCCAAGGAGATGAAGCTCAAGGCTGGCTCAGGCTCTCAGTGCCCACCTACCCAGACCAAAACAAAATCCTGCAAGCCAGCACGCAAAGCTGCAGGTAAACCTTCAGTGCACACCTCATGCATGCATCACTTAGATATTGTCTTTACCAGCTAACATCTCCTTGGTGTCTTCACTTATTTCTGATCACACGACACTCTGGTCACATGACACTCTGGTCACATGACACTCTGGTCACATGACACTCTGGTCACATGACACCCTGGTCACATGTCACCCTGGTCACATGATACCCTGGTCACATGACACTCTGGTCACGTGACACTCTGGTCACGAGTCACTCATCCATTCTATGTGCTTATAGCTTGACACTAAGTAAATGTTTCAGTGGGTTTAGGAGCTGCAGTTGTGTTGTCAGTGTATGTTCAGCTGCTTCAATCCTATAGATAGAACCAAACCAGCTATAGATAGAACCAAACCAGTTATAGATAGAACCAAATCAGCTGTAGATAGGACCAAACCAGCTATAGATAGGACCAAATCAGCTATAGATATAACCAAACCAGCTATAGATAGGACCAAACCAGCTATAGATAAAACCAAATCAGCTGTAGATAGGACCAAACCAGCTATAGATAGGACCAAATCAGCTATAGATATAACCAAACCAGCTATAGATAGGACCACAGCAGCTATAGATAGGACCAAACCAGCTATAGATAGAACCAAACCAGCTATAGATAGGACAACAGCAGCTATAGATAGGACCAAACCAGCTATAGATAGAACCAAACCAGCTATAGATAGAACCAAACCAGCTATAGATAGGACCAAACCAGCTATAGATAGAACCTAACCAGCTATAGATAGAACCAAACCAGCTATAGATAGAACCAAACCAGCTATAGATAGAACCAAATCAGCTATAGATAGAACCAAACCAGCTATAGATAGAACCAAACCAGCTATAGATAGGACCAAACCAGCTATAGATAGGACCAAACCAGCTATAGATAGAACCAAATCAGCTGTAGATAGAACCAAATCAGCTGTAGATAGGACCAAATCAGCTGTAGATAGGACCAAACCAGCTATAGATAGAACCAAACCAGCTATAGATAGAACCAAACCAGCTATAGATAGAACCAAACCAGCTATAGATAGAACCAAACCAGCTATAGATAGAACCAAACCAGCTATAGATAGAACCAAACCAGCTATAGATAGAACCAAACCAGCTATAGATAGAACCAAACCAGCTATAGATAGAACCAAACCAGCTATAGATAGAACCAAATCAGCTGTAGATAGAACCAAATCAGCTTTAGATAGGACCAAACCAGCTATAGATAGGACCACAGCAGCTGTATCATGCAAGCAAAGATATTTAGCTACTGTGGGTGGGCTTTTGTCAAATGTGTTCACAAACTCAGTTGTCTAATTAAAACATAGATCTAATCGTGTGCTGGTTAAGAAAGACTGGGGACTACTGCTAAGTGTTGCTTTACCTAGCTTGTCATTGGTCTAATTAAAACTGATCTAATGTGGTTCTTAAAGAATGGACAGGGGATCACTGTTAAGTGTTGCTTTACCTAGCTTAAGCCTGATGTGTGTTCTTAATAGATCAATAATGGATGCTTGTAGTTTCTCTCTTGTAGGAATGTTCATTAGCCTTACGTGTGCTTGTTTAGTCTTCCCTGTGATAGAGGTTTTTTTTTAGATAGATAGACTTGAGATGCTGGTCGGGAGGGGATGGGGAGGGGAAACAAATTTGAGCCTTGTATCAATTCAGTTTTTTAACTAATAATTTTTCTGGATTGATGTAGTTCCCTGTCTAGTTTTAATCCTCTATGTTGTACTGACACTGACTGATGTAGTTCCCTGTCTAGTGTTGAAGTTCTAATCCTCTATGTTGTACTGACACTGACTGATGTAGTTCCCTGTCTAGTGTTCAATTTCTGGTTGTGGCTGTCATCTTGGGTGCCTGCAGACATAGTTCCCTTCGGGTCTAAGACACCCCCCCCCCCCTGCCAATCTCAAGGGGGGTAGGGTGAGAGGGGAGTCGATATATCTGTTAGTGGAGTTGTCATTAAAAGCTAATAGAGTAACTTAGTTCCTATCTATCCAAATTGACTAAAATACAGCTGTGTTAATGTTTTTCTCAGCTCTAGTTAAAATTCTAGGTAACCCCAGGGTTAAACAGGGACCTTTGACCTCTACTGCAGGTGCCCATCATTGTGTGTGTGATTGTGTTAACACCTTGTTTCTCTCCTGTTCTGAAGTCTCTATCACTGACTGGGTGGATGAGTATCTGCATCTAATGTGTCATAGGATGACTAGTTCCTGGAACTTGTTTCTAGGAACTTGTTCCTGTACCTTGTTGTTGAGAACATGTTCCAGTTACTTGTTTCTGAGAACTTGTTCCTGCAACTTGTTTTTGAGAACATGTTCCAGTTACTTGTTTCTGAGAACTTGTTCCTGTACCTTGTTGTTGAGAACTTGTTCCAGTTACTTGTTTCTGACAGCTTGTTCCTGCAACATGTTTTTAAGAACTTGTTCCCATAACTTGTTTTTGAGAACATGTTCCCACAACTTGTATCTGAGGACTAGTGAAGATTGTTCAGGCCACATATGACATTTGGAAATTTTTCCTTCCTTACAGGTCAATAAATAACCCACCAGAGTTTTGCTGAGAGAGAGAGAAAGAGAGAAAGCAGTCACAGATAAATGGATGTGTACCCAGACCATATTTCAATGTATCTCTATCTAACGTGGGGCCTGGTCTGACTGACCCACCCTACTTAACTGTTGTCTGATTGATGGTCAAGTCCACATTTAGTTTCCACCCTAGCTGTCCTACCAGACCGCAGGACATTTGTCCTGTAGATGGCTGACATAATGAGAGGCTGTTGTGATAGAGTTTAATTAGATCCAGATACTTGTCAGTTCCTGTACTTTAAATGTCAACTGTTTTTTTATTTCTACTAATATTTGATGCTTGTGTTTTTGTATCTGCTATTTAAACAAAACAAAACAAAAATCAAAATTTTCCTTCCTTCTACCTCTGTAATCTCTGCCAGTGGCTTGCTACTTTTTATTTTTTATGTGCATGCTGAAACATTTTAAATTTTTCTCATTAAAGTGTGTTCATATTACCCTAGAATAGTTTTTTTTTCTTCTTCGTTGTTTGTGTGTTGGTTGTTGCATTATTTATATCATGGAAGGGCAGACGGTGGGGTAATTAATTAAATTTACAACTGCTTGCTTCAAGTAACATTAGGTGTATTTTTACAGGTAACAGTAATCTCACATTATTGTAGATAGGGAAAAACAGATCTTAGTTTTTAGTATACTGACAGGCAAAGTGGGCCACCCGAAGAAATGCCTGAAAGAAACACTGCCACCCCTCCCCCAAATTTGGAGTGATCGGTGGCGCTTTTTATTTTGGTGTGTTGTAATTCAGTTAAGTAGCTCGGGATGAACTTTTTTTTCCCTACCTCGTTTGCCCCCCCCCCCCTGGTTACGCCACTGTACACAGATGCTGCTTTAGATCCATTTAGGTTTGTGTTTCAGCTAAGACTAATTGTAAACTTAACGTGTAGACAGGTTATTGATTCAAATGGTTCAATCAGTGCAGCTGTACACCAAAGTGGTGAGCGAAATCTGACATGTTAGGTTTATCTCTGTAAGGTGAATGGCCCGGCCATAGGTTGCTGAGAAATGGAGACTCCTGGAAGAGAAAAAGTTCGTCTGCTAACTCTTAAGTCTCGAGTTCGGAACCCTGGCTAGAGTCGTAGCACATCCATGAATCTACCCATGATGATTACCTGACTTTCTTTAGGGAAAGTAAAGGCGGCTGGGCATATCATTGACCACATTGGTCCTTCACGTACCGAGGTCACAGAATACTTTCCCCATAGGCCGTCAGGTCCACATCGCGTGCAACCAAAGTCGTGAAATTTGCTGCCAAAACAATGTTTTATTCGGTGAAAATAAAGAGATAGTAGGAAAGAGGGATGATACCAAACCGAGATTTTAAATTTGTTGAGAGACGGGGTGACACCACACCAGGTAACACCCGACCTAGTGACGCCCAAATTTGTGGAGGGGCGGGGTGACACCACACCAGGTAACACCCGACCTAGTGACGCCCAAATTTATGGAGGGGCGGGGTGACACCACACCAGGTAACACCCGACCTAGTGACGCCCAAATTTGTGGAGGGACGGGGTGACACCACACCAGGTAACACCCGACCTAGTGACGCCCAAATTTGTGGAGGGACGGGGTGACACCACACCGGGTAACACCCGACCTGGTGACACCCAAATTTGTTGAGGGACGGGGTGACACCACACCAGGTAACACCCGACCTAGTGACACCCAAATTTGTTGAGGGACGGGGTGACACCACACCAGGTAACACCCGACCTAGTGACGCCCAAATTTGTGGAGGGACGGGGTGACACCACACCAGGTGACACCCGACCTAGTGACACCCAAATTTGTTGAGGGACGGGGTGACACCACACCAGGTGACACCCGACCTAGTGACACCCAAATTTGTTGAGGGACGGGGTGACACCACACCTGTAACACCCGACCCAGTGACGCCCACATTTATGGAGAGACGGGGTGACACCATCAGACACCACACCAGGTAACACCCGACCTAGTGACACCCAAATTTGTTGAGGGACGGGGTGACACCACACCAGGTGACACTGATTGGTATCTCAGTGTAGACACGTAAAAACATAATCCCATCGATTTGTAGATAAACTCGCAGTCAACACAGAATAATTATCCTCAATTTCATTTCTGTCTCATATATAAGACTAGCTAGACAAGCGGATAATGATTTTGCAAAAAAATGCACAGAATTTAGCCCAAAGTGTTAATTTGTGGATGTCAAATTTTGATGGGATCTATTATTTTACGATATGTAGGCCTAGGCTTCGTGATGGGTTCTATTATTTTACGACATGTACACGCATCCAATTTCGTTGAGCCGACTCAGCCTTATTCATACAGAAATTATTCTGGTATATTGTATTCAGAAACGAAAGTATTAAACCATGCTGTTAAATATCAACAGCAATCAATTAGCGAGAAATGTGGTGAGCTATGTTTATTGTTTAATTTTTGTATTTTTAATTAATGCCAAAAAATCAAAACAAAATATCTTTTTAAAAAAACGAGTAGAGTATGTACTGCCTGACATTGCACACATTCCCGATCGTCCAGAATAGCAGCAGCCTCTATAGCAACTGCTAGAAAAGTTCCAGCCCAAAGCAAGACCAATTTCTGGGGACTTACTGCCTAAGGTTAGATGGACCCCCCGTCACTGGAGCCTGCTCCACCCCACGAAATTTATATCGTCGACGCCCCCTTCAAACAGTCTGCCCCTCCCCTCCTCCTCACACCACTGCCCCTTCAAACAAGTCCTCACACCAGCCCGCCTCCCACACCAGCCCGCCCCCCCCCCCCTCACACCCTCGCCCCCCTCACACCATCCCGCCCGTTAAAATCAGCCCGACCCCCCCCCTCACACCAGCCCACCCCACCACGAAATTGTACCGTCGTTTCAGCGTGTGTCTACCAGAAGCAGCCCTGGACCGGATGTGACGTCACGACCCGGACCAGACAGCGCGAGAACCTGTTGGTCAAGGGTGACCCGGCCACCTGCATCCCCAGGAAAGTGGTGACCAAACCCTGTCAACAAGGTAACCATGGCAACCATCACCTTCTGCAGGCCTTCCTTTCTCTAGCCCTGTCACCTTGCTTACACACAGAACCTGTGAGTCACCAGTGTGAGCAGTGTCACCACGCAGTGTCACCTAATTCTAGTGTCACCACACACTGTCACCTAACTCTAATACCACACTCCATGTGTCACCACACCACCATGTGTCACCCCTCCATCATGTATCACCACAAACCACCATGTATCACCACACACCACCATCACCGTGTGCACCAACAACGGCGCCAAACAAGTGTGTTAAGACAGACCGGCAGGGCCAGCCAGTCGCAGGAAGAGAATCGCATTACATCGTGTACACAGCTCATTCTATGCACGCAACTTCAGCGGTTCTCATAGTTTTCTAACCCTGATCTAACTCTGTTAGAATAAACTGCTGAAACCCTACCCCCACTGATGTAATATTCACATTAATTTTTTTTAATAATTTTAATTTTCGTTTTGGAAACTAAAAAACTCAAGTTTTTCTTTTTTTTCTTTTTTTTTTTTAAATTTTTGAAAATAAATAAAATGAGAAATAAAAAGAGAGTTATTAAAGTAGAGAGGAGGATTACAAATGGTGGTGGATGACACATAAATGTTGGCCCAGTATATACATTAATGGTGGCCAAATGTTTACACACACAGGTTTCTAGTTTAGAGTTGGCCAAGTTTCTAGTTTAGAGTTGGCCAAGTTTCATTAGTCTCACACTCCATCGTTCTAATCCATTGATAATCTCCGTTAATCTAATTTACTAATAGGCTTTATCAAATTACTTCAAACATGAAACCATGTCATGTACCCTACGGAATATTGCCCGTATTATATAACATAAACATTGGACATTTTCACCCACCCCTACCCCAAATTAAGTTATATAATTTACACAGACACTCTCCCCCTTATTATATAACAGTTATATAGCTTACCCCACCCCAATTTATGACACTTAGCATTTTTTTTAATGAAATAAAGTTATGGAGAATCACAAAATAATAAGAGCTAGAAATATTCATTAGGTTAATTGTCGAGGCTTCTATTGTATTCAAACGGCCAGTTGTGCCATTTCTCTGTTTCATCCGACCCAGTTAAACAGCCCAACTTTTGTTACATTCAGATCAGGATGAAGAAAATCTACAGGAGTGTGATATATTATTGTTCTATATATACACCCCATATCAGCATCACAATATAACAGAATGATACTCCACCCCTACCTCTACCGTGTTGTATACTATGCTCACTGTCCTAAATAATATACTCAGTGAGAGTTGGAGGCTATGTGGATGTTTATCATTAATGATGTTTACATTACAGGACGATATGATCCCCCCCCCCCACCCCTCCTTAATCATTTTACATTAACACGCATCATTAATATACCCCCTAATCATGAATATACCAGTAAATCATTTAAAATAGTGTACTTCTTAAACGGACCCCGTTAATCATTCTTCATTAATATTCTTCATTAATTTACCCCATTAATTATTTTTTTCAATAATCTACAATCATTAATCTATCTCCTTAATCATTCTTCATTAACATACCTCATTAAAGTTCCACCTTACTTATTCTTGATTATTCCTCATTTAAGTACCCACTTACTCATCCTTCATTATACCTCATTTAGGTACCCATTTAATTATTCTTCATAACACCTCATTAAGGTAACCATTTACTCATTCAACACACCCCATTAATTTACTTTCTTATCCATTGTTCATAGTATATAGATCATTAAAGCATCTACTTATCCATTCTTTATTAACACATAATTAATTAACACCCCCCTTCTATCCCCCCCCCGCCCCCCCCCCCCCCTGCAGCCTGCCGGTACGACAGAGGGGACTGGTCCCCCTGCGACCCTGCCACAGGTGTCATGCAGCGCCCTCTGGTACCAAGGGCCAACTCGCCTCCCATCTGCCTGTCCTCGGTGGAATCCAAGCCTTGTCGCGTGACGTCACTCAAAGAAAGCAGTGAGACTTCCGGTTTGTTGTGTTGTGCTCCCAGCATGCATTAGCCCATCTGTGTTCTGGATTCAGGGCTGGGGGTTGAGTTAAAGAGGAGACTTTGGGATGGCGTGATTTTTTTTTTTTTCATTTTTTTTTCGACGAGAATTTCTGTGATGTATGGAGATAAATAAAAACCTCCAACAGTGAAGGATTGTCGGCGAGGTCATGTTTCCATTATACCCCCCCCCCCCCTCTCCTATTTCCCGTGTGCTATAGTGGCCCTACAACAATGGGTGGGGGACGTGCATAAATTACGTCACGCCCCTTATGTGAGTTGGGGGTGTTCTGCCTTGAATTGATGATGTGCTTCGTGTGAGGGAGAGGAGGGAGGCGGGGAGGGAGGGGGTATAAAAGATTGTGATGTTGAATTCATAATGGGTTTTTTAAATGGTAAATAGAAAAGTATTATAGAATGGCAGTTGTTTCCTTTTATTAGAGAGTTGGTGCTTGATATGGCGGCTGACAATTTGATTGAAGTGGATCCTGACGCTTTTATGGTGCAGATATTTGATATTGGGGTTCGTGGTTTAGGAGAGTGATTATTGGGGGTATAGGAAAGTGAAATTGCAAAATATGGATATCATTTGTATTGGGAGGTATAGGAAAGTGAACTGTCCAAATATGGATAACATTTGTATTCGACTCTAGAAAGAAAGATTGTAAAAAAAATTGTAATAATATTCTTTTATTAAAAAAATACTTTTATTTATAGAATAGGGAGTTGGCCTTGATTTTAAAAGACTGTAAAGGGCCCCATGAATCGTGATATAGTTGTCTAGATGCGCCCGGTAGATGACTTGATGCGGCTCGTGATGTTGGTGAACTAAGCTCACCCATTGTGTATAAGGCCCAGCATTGATATCACACTACTTCCGTCACGTCGCTGATGTTGGTTTACCTGACAGACTTGCCGTTTTGGCAAAAAATAATTTTATGATCAAGTGTTACGAGACGATAGCAGTAAAGTCAATATAACTTCACATTTTTTTAATATAATTTATTTACTCTTACCTGTTCAATGTTTTTATTAGAGATTATTTTCTTTCCCTTTTTGAGAAAAAAAAGATTTTAATCAGTTTATTTTTCCTGTCGCTTGTTTTGTTCTGACGAATATAACATACACATACAATCTCCCCCTGACATAAACATAACCCCACCCCTTTCGTGCTGTTCGTAGCTCAAATGTAAAAATATATATTTATAAATCAAACAAAACGGCTGCGTAAATCAGGTTATCATGACCCCACTGTTTACATTTTCCACCATGACCTGTTCCACCATGACCTAACTGTTCCACTATTGACCTTAAAATTATTCCTCCATGACCTAACTATTCCACCATGACCTAACTATTCCAACATGACCTAACTATTTCACAATTACTCTTATTTATTCACCATGACCTAAAACTATTCCACCATGACCTAACTGTACCACCATGATCTCAATTTATTCCACCAAAACCTAAAATTATTCCACCATCACCTAACTGTACCACCATGACCTAAAACTATTCCACCATGACCTAACTGTACCACCATGATCTCAATTTATTCCACCAAAACCTAAAATTATTCCACCATGACCTAAAATTATTCCACCATGACCTAAAATTATTCCACCATGACTTAAAACTATTCCACCATGACCTAAAACTATTCCACCATGACCTAACTGTACCACCATGATCTCAATTTATTCCACCAAAACCTAAAATTATTCCACCATGACCTAAAATTATTCCACCATGACCTAAAACTATTCCACCATGACCTAAAACTATTCCACCATGACCTAACTGTACCACCATGATCTCAATTTATTCCACCAAAACCTAAAATTATTCCACCATCACCTAACTGTACCACCATGACCTAAAACTATTCCACCATGACCTAACTGTACCACCATGATCTCAATTTATTCCACCAAAACCTAAAATTATTCCACCATGACCTAAAATTATTCCACCATGACCTAAAATTATTCCACCATGACTTAAAACTATTCCACCATGACCTAAAACTTTTCCACCATGACCTAACTGTACCACCATGATCTCAATTTATTCCACCAAAACCTAAAATTATTCCACCATGACCTAAAATTATTCCACCATGACCTAAAATGATTCCACCATGACCATGACCTTTATTCCACCATGACCTATCCCCAGAGTGCCGGTACAAGCCCAGCCCCTGGTCGGACTGTGACCCACGGAGTAACACAATCACCCAGCTGCTGACCTTGAGGAGCGGTGACCCCAACCTTTGCCAGAAAAAGAAAAAACTCTCGCGCAAATGTAAAGAAGGTAAGATGTAAAGATGGTAAATGTATTATGTAAACACTGTAAAAGTAAGATGTAAAGAAGGTAAAAGTAAAATGTAAAGAAGGTAAATGTTTACATAAACAATGTAAAAGATGTAAACGATGTGAAAATAAGATGCATTTAGACAATAATGTCTCTAAAGTTTCTCTATCCCATCCACTATGCCACTGACAGAACCCTATTCCCCCCCCCCCCCCCCCCCCCCCACCCCTCTCCCCTGCTAAACTGCCCTAAACGACGGTTCCCAGAAAAATGCGCAATCGGAAACTGTTCAACGGAAAACTGTGCAAACAGAAAAATGCGCAAATACAAACCAATTATACTAATATACTTTAATTTTGTCAGAATTCGTTGAAATATGTTTTATTATACTACAATGTACACGTAGTCCCTCTTTATTAATGTCGATTTAAGAAAAAAAATTGCCCTTGCGCACTTTTTATTAGTTTTCCGTAGCGCAATTTTCCTTTGCGCATCTTTCCGTTCACCCTAAACGACAACCCTTTAAACCAGTCTATGATCCTGGCCACAGATCTTCTCGCCTGTGAGTGAAAGGGTGTCACAACGTTTAGCCCCTCCTATATTTACGTGCAATACATACCTAATTTATTTATTTTTTTAATTTCCTCCCCAGCATGCAAATTTCGACGCGGTGAGTGGTCAGAATGTGACCCAGTGACCCAGTTGATGACCCGTATAGATTCCCTTATCAGGGGCAGCAGGAAATACTGTGACATCAGCCGGCAAATTACCAAAAAATGCAAGAGATGTACGCACATTTGCCTTCTGTTTTCTCCCCTCCTTCCTCTCTCACTGCTGTAAACGTGCGCAACATTTGCTCGTGATCTTCAGTTAGTTGTCTTTCAAGCACAACGCTTTAACTATATTCTACCTAATCCTTCTTACCTAACATACATTTTTGGTATCTTAACCGCATATTTGTCTTTCATTGAAAATATTTAAACATAATTTTAAATGTAATTTATAAACGTATTTTATTCCTGTGATAATCCTTTAATATGTTTGCATGATTGTCTCCTTTTTTTTTGTTTTTCTATATTTATGTTTAGATGTATATATTTAAATTAAATAACCGGTAACCGTCAATTATAGAAAATGTTAAACTTGTTTGAGAAATATATTTTATTAATATTTTATTTTTAAAAAGTACTGGTCAAAACGCAATGTATTTTACTACACGTTGATGTTATTCTTTCTTTACATCGCAATGCTTTAATCTTTTAGCAAAGGTTTACCAAATTTTCTTCTTCCGTTTCTTAATTATATTTTTATAAAAATTATTATTTATTTTGTAGATCTTTAAACTATATTATGTATTTTAGTTGCATTTTGTTTTTCGCCATTTTCTACGACTGGACTTAGTTAGGCCAGGTACACCAGACAGGGTCATCAAGTTGAATCAGCTGATCTTGACCTTTGTTCATGTGTCCACTCGCATGTCATAATGTTGACGACACACTTGAAAGCTTGACCTGATTAACGTGGGGGGGGGGGGGGGAGATTGTGAGGATTGTCCCGAATGTCGAGGGTGGATAGGGAGAGGAGGAAAAGATAGACTTGAATAAGGGGGGTGGGTAGGGTTTGGGTAAAAACGAGGCTGTTAGATGGGGGAGGGGGAATGGAGGGGGGAGAGATCGAACCGAAAAGCGAGGGTGGGTAAGGGAGGGGTGGGCGATGACGTTTATCAGCTATGACGTTTATCAAGATGTGGATTACTTTTTAATAGGTTTTTTTTTTTAAATACACAATACAGTAAGTAGAGTACCATTTCGAACAGAGGCCCTCGGTGCGAGTGAAGTAGAATTCAACTGTATGTTGTTTTTTTTTTTTTTTTTTTTTTGTGATCTCGGTATTTTTTATTATTCCTGGGATTTAAAAAAAAATCACGTGATAAAGAAAATATACCAGAGTTACATAAGACTTGTATGACAACGTTTTTATTCTGGGCTTTATTTTTTCTTCTTTTAATTAGTGCAATGTGGATAATTATAATTGGATATAAAAACGACACCACAGCCAGTCTGTAAAGACCGACACAGATTCGAATAACAGGCCGTGTCTGTCTGTCATGCAATTGTTGCTTCCTTTGCTCCTCTCTACATAATTAATTATCACTGACGTAATTTTAATTAATAGCTAATCTTTTTTTTTATTATATGTTTAAATAAGCTTGCTAAATGCTGTAATAGTTAATGATTGTGTCATGATTTGTATCTCATGTCTGACAGTATGTAAATACACATACGGGGAGTGGGGTGAGTGTGACCCAGTGACCCACCATAGGACACGGGTCAGGAAGTTGGAGGAGGGTGACCCTAGCAAATGTCCCGTGGAGGATATAGTTACCAGACCTTGTGAGAAAAAGGACGGCGGCGGTAAATATTTTCATTTCATTCTAGATGAACCTGAATACATTAGTGTTTTAAATATATTATATAGTGAATATATATATATATATATATATATATATATATATATATATATATATATATATATATATATATATATATATATATATATATATATACATATAACACATACACATAAACACATACATGAGTACATAGCCTGTAGGACTATTTATATGTATATATATATATGTATATATATATATATATATATATATATATATATATATATATATATATACATATATATTAAATATATTATAGGGAGTATATATATATATATATATATATATATATATATATATATATATATATATATATATATATACATATATATACTTATATTCGTGTACATAGTCTGTAGACCTATATAAAAATTATTTATATTTATATACATATATATTTATAATAAAAAATATAGACAAACTATCTTAAAATATCTTTGTTGATGTAACGCTAAAGCAATAACTCACGGCGTGGGCTATATAAGGGAAACAATCTAGATTTTATAATGTCATTAGCGTCCTTAAAGAGTTGTCCTTTCAGCGTCGAATCGATCATGATACGTTGTAACGTATGTGGTGTTGTCTCGCTAAGGCACTGCGTTGTGTATCAGACAGAAGATCGCAGTGTTGTGAACACCCCGTTATAGACTGACGTCATTTCAGTTTGTTGCCGTGTTTGTTGAGGGTCAAAATTTGAAACTTAAACGCATTTGTCAAGAGTTCACACTTTGTCGGTTCGCATCAGAGAATTTTTTTTTTTTTGGGGGGCGGGAGGTGGGGGGTCAATTAGGAGCTGCATAGTGGAGTTATATAAAAGCTGCGACTTGGGTTATATAAGATATGTAGAAGTGGGTCGGACATAGATGTGTATAGGGGGATGAAGCCCCACCCCACCCCCCACCCCAACCTCCTCCCCCACCCAGTAAAAAAGTCTGAAAGAAATACTGGCCGTATTAGTGTTTTATATCTGTCCTATATGAATATTTTGACGGTTTTAAAAAGTATAGACACATTGAATTCCTCTGACGGGTACGTATTTGAGCTGGGGGGACTCTCAGTGATCAAATTGCGACATACCCAACCCAAACTTGAGACTTGTTGAGCAAACGTGTGCTCCACCAACCCGTACTCACGCGATTTAGGTTGTGGGGGTTGTGTCTTCAATAGGGGCTCTGTGTACTTGATGCTGGGGCGGGTCTAAAATGGGCTTACTGGGCTTGTGTAGAGGCTTGGTGTGGCTGTGTTAGGGTCTGTGCTCTATGGGAACTGGTGGTATTGAGTTGTTATGGGGGAAAGTGTTTTGATGGGGTGTATCTATGGGAACTGGTGGTACTGAGTTGCTATGGGGGAAAGTGTTTTGATGGGGTGTATCTATGGGAACTGGTGGTACTGAGTTGCTATGGGGGAAAGTGTTTTGATGGGGTGTAAATAGATCTATATGGCTTTATGAGTGTTGCAGATATGGGCTGTATATGAAGTGTATGTGTGCTGTATATGGGATGCAGATATGAATTGTACAGGGGGGGGGGGGGGGGGCGGAGATCGCTCTAGGGCCGAAGATCCCTGTGCGTACATCCACCTCTACTCCCCCCCCAACTCCCTCAACAAATATGCCAGCACACGCCCCTGTAAGCGAGCTTAGTCGTGTTTCTAGCGTCACGTGATATCTCCACCTCCCCTCCCCCCCTACCCCCACCACAGGCAGCAATGTCGGCATCTCACCCCCTCGGTCTAGGAGTAGACAACAACCACATCAGGGGTGGGTTGGCAGTGTTTAAGTGGTCCCTGTAAATATATAAGGTCCTCCCCCCCAACCCCACCCTAGATTAACCGACCGTCCACCCCCTGAATTACATCATGGCATTAGGGACAGTAACGACGTCATGTTAACTACACAACAGTAATGACGCCAATTTAACTACACAACAGTAATGACGTCAAGGCGCAACGACGTCAGCAATAAACACTAACGACAACGTGACGTAATGCAAGAAACAATGTACAATAACGACGACAAAAAGAGCGTTCGGAGAATTAACTGGATTGTCCGTCTACACAATGACAACCCCGCGTTATAAGACGTTCGGGTGTAGAAACTCAAGGCACGACGCCGAGATTCGAACCCTGCTGTTGGCCTCACTACTCACACACAGAAATCACGACTTGCCAACTTTCCCACGGTCTCCCTACCCCCCACTCCCCCCCCACACACACACACCGCCTCCATCGCTCTCCCTCAATGCCACTCCATCCCCCCCCCCCCTCCTATCATCTTTCAACACACATAGATGTATTGCAGACTCACACGAACAATACAATGGGGTCAGTAGGTCAAATACCGAAATCAGAACAGCAAGACGTGCATGTTGGGGAACAAATCCCGCTCAGACTGACATGGGAACAGGACTCTGGCGTTATCTGTGACGTCTTGATGTGCGTAGTTCTGTGCACGTGACGTCTTGATGTGCGGAGTTCTGTGCACGTGACGTCTTGATGTGCGTAGTTCTGTTCACGTGACGTCTTGATGTGCGTAGTTCTGTGCACGTGACGTCTTGTTGTGCGTATTTCTGTTCACGTGACGTCTTGATGTGCGTAGCTCTGTGCCCGTGACGTCTTAATGTGCGTAGCTCTGTGCGGACATGTATTCATGTCGTCTTGACTTCATGGAGTGTGCAGCACTGTGCTGACACTGATGTGCGTAGATCCGCTGCACGTGACGTCTTGATGTGCGTTGATCCGTGCACGTACAGTCTGACACCCCAGCTCCCCACACACAAGTAGCCTACTCAGTAACTGTATCAAGAATAAATAATTAATGGGGACATAGTTACCCCCCAATTAAACGGCGTGGTCGAGGGGTAGGTCTTGCCTAAATGTGCAGAGTTCGGATCCTGGTTAGAAAACTATCTACAGCTACCGTGCAAAGTGGGTGAGGAAAGGGGAGTGAGGGGGGGGGGGTGTACGATTGACCCAGCTATAAGATGAACCCCCCCCCAAGCTAGGAGCAGGACTGGTGTTACAACACACGCTGGCTTTCACATTCTTTCCTTCAACACAAGATAAGAATTTTTTTTTTTGCCACTGCTAATAAAAAAATGAAACAATCTTTTTTAAACAAAACTATGCGATTCCTATAACGTATTTTAAATTTTCACTTCCTCAGTACTAAATCAGACTGTGGTTTGTAGTGAACGGGTTAGGGTCGGTTATAGTAGGTGATAGTAGGAAATAGTGTTTCTTTCATGCATCTCTTAGAAGCACTTCTACTCCGAACGAAATGGGGGGGGGGGGGGGGGAAACAGTATCCGCCTCCACGCCCGTGAATTTTAGTCTGCACCTCCCCCCCCCCCCCCCTCGAAATTTTCGAATGCTCCCCCTTCCCCAGAAACACTGTATTAAAAATGTACTATTATTCCGTTATAGGTAAAAGGTAAAAAAAAAAGTCATATGTTTGTTTTACGATCCTTAAAACAAAACTTGCAAAAAACTGCTTTAAAAAATTACTGCAATTACATACAGATGACTATAACTCGGACTAAAACTCTACTAGAATCTAGAACGTAGGTTGCTCTAGTTTAAAGTTTAACTGTTGATGTTTTGTGTCTCCACAGAGCGCTGTTTCTACGGTAGCTGGGGCGAGTTTGGCCCGTGTACGAACGGTGTGATGACCAAAAACAGACCAATGCTACAGGGAGGGGTAGAGTGTGAGAGAAAAGCTGTCATTACTAAAGCTTGTGAATAAAACAATCTCTGGGGGGTGGGGGGAGTATAGGGTAGGGTGGGGGGGGGGCGACAGGTCACAGGGAGGATGAAATATAGACGGTGGTAAAAGATAATGACTACATAATAAAGGCGTTTTTTTTTAAATTGTTGTTGTTTTTTTTATTTGAAGTTAAAATTCAAATGTCAACCGTTTAACAGACTGGAATGGTTGTACTTGGCTCGTAGTGGTGACACTGGGCCTGAGGTCTCACTCGGTGAAAACTAGGGAATGGTGACACATATGCCACTTCACTCCTAGACTGGTAAATGGTGACACATATACCCGTCACTCCTACACTGGTAAATGGTGACACATATACCCGTCACTCCTACACTGGTAAATGGTGACACATATACCCGTCACTCCTACACTGGTAAATGGTGACACACTGGGCCTAAGGTCTCACTCGGTGAAAACTGGGGAATGGTGACACATACACCCCTCACTCCTACACTGGTAAATGGTGACACATTTACTCCCTCGCTCCTACACTGGGAAATGGTGACACATACACCCCTCACTCCTACACTGGTAAATGGTGACACATTTACTCCCTCGCTCCTACACTGGGAAATGGTGACACATACACCCCTCACTCCTACACTGGTAAATGGTGACACATTTACTCCCTCGCTCCTACACTGGGAAATGGTGACACATGCACCCGAGCAGGGCACCACCACACTTTATCTCAGCCGCTGATTTTGTCTAGTCCCCCAAACTGGTCTCCGCCTTTATGGTAAGAGAAATACTCACTTAACTTGATGTTTTTAGCAAATCATTGGGCGCAGGGGTGAACTGGCAGTGTTCAAAAGGCCCGGCTAATTCTAAAAAGGGGTCTCAAACCCCAGATTAAAATTTTCACTGTGCATCTTTTCGCCTATCGAACCCTGTATTTTACGCCTCCGTGTGTAGGTACGAAAATGGTGAAATGGAGAAATAACAACAAATTATTTTTAAAAATCTAAACGCTAATAGAGCTCTTACAGTACCGTTCATAGGGGCCCATCGTGATGTTTTCATGTGGGGGGGGGGGGGGGAATCACAGGATTTTCCCCGGAAGAACGGTGGGCCTTTGCAGCCTTGATTAGGAGTATTGTCATGTATCTTTTTATGACTCTCTCTAGCATTGTATGATGAGTTTTGAGTTTTTCAAAGGGGTATGTTCTGTTGGCAGTCTTTTAGTCATTTTTGTTTTAGATTTTTTTTTCCGCAGCGTGCTATGTTGTATTTTTAGAACAGCTGTTGTTAAAAAAAACAGTCACGGAGAATGAATGATTAATGTCCCCTCTGTGGTCAACTAAACTGCATTAAGGGGAGACAACTTTAGTGAATCTGTGAGTTGCTCCCCTTGATAAAAGTCTTGACACCAAGACAAACAACCGCGACACTAACTGTGGCAGAAATGTGGCCAGGACTTTTCTCGCCCGTCCGTTGATTTGTTGCCTGGTGGTCTGTCAAGGAGTTTCAGATTTTGAAACATTTTGACCGAAGTTGACCGTTCGACTTTTTCGTAGACTAGTAAACATGTGTTGACTAATTGAGTTTGACATGGTTTGACTTATCCACATAAATTGATCGATTGATTTACAGATCGATTTGTATCAGTGATCAATGGTGACGTTGAGTTACTGGATGTGTAAGGGCACAGACTGTATTGTTGACTGTATCTTACGGTCTAATATTTAGAGCTTAGCTCAATGCCTCGCTGTCTAGACCAACACTAGATCTAGAACCTACAATTTCCGCTTTGGATTGACGCAGACTGAACCCTGTCAACCCTGTGAGGTTAGACGTAGACTTTGAACCCTGTGAGCCAATGAGGTTAGACGTAGAGTGAACCCTAGTGAACCCTGTGAGGTAAGACGTAGACTGAACCCTAGTGAACCCTGTGAGGTTAGACGTAGACTATGCTAACTTACAGCCATGTCAAGTGACCTGGTTTTGATGGTGGACGCCACTCTTAGATAATTGATTTCTACACCCCCCCCCCCTTTTCCTCCATGCGATTCCCCTCTGCGAAAAATAAAATCTTTTTAAAAATTAATGAAAAGTGGATTGGATTTTTTTAAACGAAATTGAAACATTTTCTCTGCCCGGCATCAACTTCGTTGTTGTTTTTTGTAGTAACCACTCATGGAGTGGCAGTTTATTGGCGTCAGTTTCATCTGTTGATGAAGGTGTTGATGCTACTCTGGCGTCCTTGGCCTTTCAACACCTCGGGTCTGTAACGTCGTTTGAATTTACGAACTCTTTGTTACAGGAGGTTAAAAAAAATTCCATGTGGGAAAAATTTGTCGAGTAAATTTTCTGTTTTTTTTTTCTGTAATACCTAATGAACTCGTGGAATTATAGTGGTCGTGTGCGCTACTACTCGACCACCACACGACGAGCATACGGTCGAGGGGAAAAAAGTAATTCCGATGAGAACCGGTGTATGAGTGATTAACTTCCGCTTCTTGCAGACGTGAGCTTTAGATTGTCTGGTGATGGTCCTTGAGTGACCGCTTTTTGTTTAATTTTTGTTATGTGAGGTTATGTCAGGTGTATGTCAGGTGTATGTCAGGTGTATGTCAGGTGTATGTCAGGTGTATGTCAGGTGTATGTCAGGTGTATGTCAGGTGTATGTCAGGTGTATGTCAGGTGTATGTCAGGTGTATGTCAGGTGTATGTCAGGTGTATGTCAGGTGTATGTCAGGTGTATCTAAGGTGTATGTCAGGTGTATGTCAGGTGTATGTCAGGTGTATGTCAGGTGTATGTCAGGTGTATGTCAGGTGTATGTCTGGTGTTTGTCTGGTGTATGTCAGGTGTATGTCAGGTATATGTCAGGTATATGTCAGGTGTATGTCTATGTCATTTGTATGGTGTATGTCATGTGTATGGCATGTGTATGTCAGGTGCATGTCAGGTGTATGTCAGGTGTATGTCAGGTGTATGTCAGGTGTTTGTCTGGTGTATGTCAGGTATATGTCAGGTGTATGCCAGGTGAATGTCAGGTGAATACGAAAAAAAACAATTTCTATTGTGTAGGCCTGTGTACGTATCTGTCTCTGTGTCTGTACTCTGTACGTCTGTGAGACTACTCTTGTGTCTGTCTCCGTATGTCTGTATTTACGGTTGTGCCTGTTTCTCCCTATATCTGTCTTGACTCTTGATGGATGGAAGCGTGTGTCTGCAGGTAATGTAATTAACTAGTGTGACTCTACATGTATCTGTCCACGCTTTATGTCCCATATATGTGTCTGTCCACGCCTGTCCTATGTATGTGTGTCAACGCGTGTCCTATGCCCCAAATATGTGTCCACAAATATCTGTATGAATGCAATTAAATTTACCAGATCTATGTGTCTCACCATTTCAACTCCCATCTGACATGTCACCATACTGCCTGTGACACATGTCATTTCCCCCTGTCACCTACCCCCCCCCCCCCCCTGTATGCCCGTGTCATGTGCTTTCATACACCTGCGCAGTACAGTGCCCCGAGTTGTCTCCCCGCTTAATGTAGCCATTTATTGCGTCCCCTTGTGGCCGAAGACCAGCCTCGTCCCTAGCTGCCCGCATTCCGCAGTCTCGCGCTTTCTCGTGATGAACGGCTCCACGTCACGGCGGCCATGTTGTTGTCATGGGAACTATTTACTTTAGAAGACGCTGTCTCATCCTCATAGATCATTAGCCGCGAGACTGGAAGAAATGTTATTTATGTACAACTACGGGTAGATATAATTGTTTTTAGTTTGTAGCGTTTTGAAAGACATCTTGATTCCATAGTTGTCTGTCTTCGTATCAAGGCCTCAGTATTCGGGTTGGTGATGTGGGGGTTGGTGATGTGGGGGTTGGTGATGTGGGGGTTGGTGATGTAGGGGTTGGTGATGTAGGGGTTGGTGGTGTGGGGGTTGGTGATGTGGGGGTGGTGATGTGGGGGTGGTGATGTTTAAGATGTATGTGCTAAGTGGATGTCAAATATCTATGTAATATTTTATGTCTATGTTACAGTTTATGTCTATGTTAAAGTATATGTTACGGCGTGGCCTAGCAGTAGAGCGCCAGACTGCTAAGCCGAAAGTCTCGAGTTCTTATCCGGACTCAAGTCAGTAGAACGTTCCTGAGTCCACCCAGCTCTGATGGGTACCTTACTCAAGTTAGGGAAAAGAAAAGGAGGCTGGGCATAGTGCTCCTTCATTCGCCGAAGTCACAGAAACAGGTGAACTCTACTTTACTTACCCCATGAACCGTCAGGTTTGAAAAGGGATCTTTAGTACTTACTTACTACAGCATATGTCTCTGTTACATTATATGTCTATGGTATACGTCTATCTACAGTATAAACCTATGCTACATCAGGTCATATTTACCTGTACTACGTTATATACCCCCATAAAGTGATACAAATTGTCTAAGCTGAGACTCGAATGTTATTTATCGCTTCATTGTCACGCTTCATGCCTCAGAGAATCAGGACAAAACTAGGAGATTTAAAGGGATGACAAAAGAAATGGCTCTCTCAAAAAGTCTCAATTCGATTGGCATATCGATTTGTGCATAAAATGGGCATTACAATCGAATTGTAGGAAAAAAAGGTTTATCATTCTTCACTATATGAATTTATTCGCTAATGGCGAAGTCTCTATCTCCTGGTAGTTCGTTGGCTAATGGCAGTGTTTCCTGGTAGCTAGTTGGCTAATGGCAGAGTTTCTATCTCTTGGTAGCTCGTTGGCTAGTGGCAGAGTTTCTATGTCCTGATAGCTCTTTGGAAGACGATTCTAAAAAAAACATTCTCGGGTTTAGGTTAGGCAAATTTTTTTAAAGTAATATATATCTCTGTAACTTATAGTGCATCACTTTACATTCTTGATTGCAGATAGTTATGTTTTGTATCCATTCCTCAGTTTCAATATCTAAATTAAATTTTAAATCTAATTAAAATATTTTTAAGACATTTCTTAGATAATCTTTCAGCTTTCTGAAAAGAAAAATAGAAAGCAACTGTAAC